AGAAAGCGAAGACAGGCATCTGAGGAGAGAAGGGTTGAGAGAAGGCACAGGCATGCTTACAGGAGAGCATGCACAGGTTCCTTTGTCTTCAGGGCTTTTATCTATTTTCTAAAAGGTGGGAATTTTAGGGCAGGTCTCAGGGAGGGATCTCCATAGAAAATTCATCAGCTTTCCAGGGATATCCCTTAATATGCTGATGCATCAAAACGAGCATAAAGGGTCAGAGTCATTCTCTGGTCAGTTTCACCTTCAAGGAATGTTACCCAAGAGGGACTGGGACTGAGGCAGGCTTGCCACTGCATGGCCTGGAATGTGTAAATCATTTGCTTCTTAGTCTTCTTGGTTAGGGAAGATAAGATCTTGCCATTTATTACCTGGGTGGAAATTGTTTGGCCATTTAACTATCTGTCTCAGTTTCCCCACTCTACTTGCCAAGGAATTTTCCTAGCTCTTATTATGCTGCCTCAAAAATAGAAATTCTTACAGCATTGATGTGAAAATACCATCTCCTAAACTGTAAAAGCTGAGGTCAACGTTTTATTTTAGGGAAAAATTGTAAGTAATTACTCAGAAATCATTCAGTCAATAGATTACCTAGGCCTTTTTATTTCATCCTTTCTCTGGTTATACTTTTCCTTTCCTCATTAAGATCTCTGCCAGTGTTGGAGCCATAATAATGAACTTGAGGGTGTGTGTGTATGCGGGCGGGGGGGGGGGGGAGGAGGGGCATGTATCGTGTCATGTTCTAGTATCTGTAAGACTGGTTGGCCTTCTTGCTTATTAGCATCTTTGATAAAATACTTGAGGTAAGATAGGTTGGAAAAGATGTCAAAAGGTACAATCCAGGAATTATTTGTGGATTTCACCATTCTGGGCCTATTCTCCGTCATCCATAAGCATCTCTTGTATCTATGATACAAACAATTCTCAGTTTCTATGAGTTAAATTACTGTTGCAGTTGGTAATCTAATAATTTCTTTCCTGAAGAAAAAATATTACTTTATCACAAAAAAGCTATTAAAGCTATTTAAAATGTTCTGTGAGATAAAACTCTGATTTTGGTTCTTCTAACTGACATTTCTAAGAGTTAAGAGTGATGGTGATGGGGGAATAAAAGGTATAGCCAAGAGGCTTCCAGAAGAAAAGTCCCCTAGAGCAGTGGTCAGCAAACTCATTAGTCAACAGAGCCAAATATCAACAGTACAACGATTGAAATTTCTTTTGAGAGCCAAATTTTTTAAACTTAAACTATATAGGTAGGTACATTGTTATTAACTTAATTAGGGTACTCCTAAGCTGCTGGCCTTTGCTAAAAATGTCCTCAATCTGATTGAGGTACGTTCCCTGAGGTCGACCCCTTCCAACTCTCCCATCCACACTCGTCTTGCATACTTGTTTTGTCTATCTTTTGTCACCTGCGCGATTGGCGGACGCGACTAGCACTAACCACTGCACATGAGACTGCTGACTGCCTGGCTCACTCAACTCGTGCATGAACCGAGCGCCTCCCCCGCGCTGCGTATCCTGCGGCCCCGCCTGCGCTGCCTCTCCTGTAGCCCAACCAACCGACACTCCCCACTTCTTCCAACGCCACTTCTTCAAAACAGACTTGCCCAGGCTGAAAACTGACTTCTGCGCATGGGCCACGAAGTTTCAATCGCACTGTAGTGCGTGCCCGCACGTGCTATTTTGTGGAAGAGCCACACTCAAGGGGCCAAAGAACCACATGTGGCTCACGAGCCGCGGTTTGCCGACCACGGTCCTAGAGTGTAGCAATCTTCTTCCCACGACGGAAGCCACACTGCGGAGTGGCCGCTTCGCCTGTTGTGCCGAAAGGCCTATCTGAGCAGCCTGTGACTTATAACAAGTTAAGGGGTGTGGGTGCTAAGTCTGTGATCGACCAAAGATGCCTCTCCCGCACAAAAGTTTTTTTCTGTTTGATTTGCTGCCTGAACATCTGCCAACTTTTTCTTCTTTTGAATCACACACTAGGCGTCCTTTTAAAAGGCACATATCTCTGAGTGTGTCAGACAGTCACTGCTAAATAAGAATTGATTTAACCAGATTGCTTTCCAGAGTCTAAGGCTTCTTGGAGATTAGAATACACATCAATGAAGGACAATATTTCTGGATCCTCTGTGGCATGCAGGAAAGCGTCCCAAGCTATGTGAAAGCAGCAGGAACAGCAAGGAAGGCGCTTGGCTTATTGGAAATTTTGCCCAGAACTTAGCCTGTTACCGATTTATCTTTTACTTCTGAAAAGGATATATCGCTGATTTGCAGAACCAGTAAAAACTTCACTGGGACTCTTATTTTATAGAAATTAAATGAATATTTATTAAATCACCATCATGGGCTGAAGATTGAGTAAGATGATGTTGGCATTTAACGAGCACCTGTTTATGAGTATTGCATACACTGTTTTCCTCATTAACCCCTTTTACAGGCGATGAACCTAAGCCCAGAGAAGTTAGCCAGATAGTGGCAGAGCTGGAATTCAAAACTAGTTCTGCACGTTGTCCATGAGCCTTGAACTTTCAGATACCGCATTCTAAATGTTTACTTGGACTCTGTCTAGAAGAGAACCAACATCGTGGCATACTGGGTTCTTTTTCTGGGAGTGGGTTTGGCCACAGGAACACATGTATGTCTATTTTTTGTTAAATATACTATCCAACAGCTTTTCACAAACCTTAAACCAATTTCCGCTCCCACCAGCAGTGTATGAGCATGTCAATTGCTCCACATCCTTGCAAGTATATGGTATTGTCAGTCTTCTCATTTCTATAGAGATAGAATTGACATATAACATTACATTAGCTTCACATGAAAACATAATGATTCAATACTTGTATGTATTATGAAATGATCACTATAATAAGCCTAGTTAACATCCATCACCATACATAGCTATATTTTTTAAAAATATATATTTTATTGATTTTTTACAGAGAGGAAGGGAGAGGGATAGAGAGTTAGAAACATCGATGAGAGAGAAACATCGATCAGCTGCCTCCTGCACACCCCCTACTGAGGATGTGCCCGTATCCAAGGTACATGCCCTTGACCGGAATCGAACCTGGGATCCTTCTGTCTGCAGGCCGATGCTCTATCCACTGAGCCAAACTGGTTAGGGCCATAGCTATACTTTCATTTCTGGGATCATCTTTCAGAGAATGCAAAACTTTAAAAAAAAACACTGAATCATTTCATGAAGGGGAAATATGCAAGGAGATCTGATGCCAGTTCTCATGTGTCTTCCTAGAGTAAAATTATCTTCTATAATAAGGTCAGGAAAAGTTTTTTGATGCAAATAACATGAACATGGGAGATGAGAAATTGCAGAAACATAGCCGATATACGTACATGTTGCTATTTAAAAATACTGAGTGACATTTTGTTAAAATATTTTTTTACAAGCAAATCTATACTAATAAAATACAAAGATGCTAATTGACTGTACCTTCGCTATGCCCATCAGCCAATCAGAAGACTATACAAATTAACCCAACAAAGATGGGCGTTAAATTTGCATACTGGAGGCAGGGCGGGACAACGCCATCCGCTGCCTGCCTTGCTGCCATCCGGCCCTCCCACGTGCAACCTGGGGTGGCCGGGTGGGACAGCAGTTATCCGCCGGCCTGCCCGGCCGCCATTCAGGCTTGCCGTGTGCGACCTGCCTCAGCGGGTTTCGCTCCCTTCTCTGTTTCACTCCAGCCGCAGGAAGCCCTATTCTTGCAGGAATCTTCCTGCAATGGGCCTCTAGTATATTTAATGAAGCTGTGATTCCATTAATTGGAATAGGAAGAACCAATATTTCAGAGCAAACCTGATAGAAGACTAACACATTCATGTAATTGAAGTAATTTTTTACTTTTGCCACGATAATTTTAGTGTACCAGTACACACAATAGGAATAGCCGCATTCCCTGCTAATCGGAGTGTGTAATCCTGAAAGGTGCATAGATCATGTAAATTAGAAATAAAGCTGATGATGTTGCGGTAATGGCCTTTGGTTCACTACTTTGGAATAAGATCATTGAGCCTGGGGAACAGAACCCTGAGCCCGGCTGGCTTCTGGCTCGGCTCTGCTAGCCCACAGCGGTAATTCACCCTCCAAGAACAGGGCAACTCTGCAGCAGGCAGGACAAGCGTGGCCCAGCCCAAGGCAAGACGGGGAGGGAGGGAGATGAAGGAGGGAGGTAGTGGTCATGCTGCGGAGTCCTTCTGCGTTCCCTTTTAGAGCTACACTCCCACCTCCTGGTGTTCTCTCTCACCAGTTGCCTATGTGGCCAAAGTCCTCAAGCAATCCGTGAGTTTGCAGATCACTGTCCCTTGGGGCGCCCCAGGCAGAACCTACTGCTAAACCCTCCCTCCTCTCTGCTGTTCCACCAAACGCTCTCACTCAGGCCTGCGGCTTCCCTGTGGTGAGGAGGAAAGACTGGACTGTGTCTAGAGCCACAGAGGAAGGGTAAGGAGTTTGTTGATATACTCAAAACACCCAGCCTGGGGAAGGGGAAGTGTGAGTAGGCAGAGATCCAGCTGTGCTTCACCCACTATGCCCTGCCCTTTGCTATATTTTAAATTAAATTTATTGGGGTGACATTGGTTAATAAAATTGCATAGGTTTCAAGTATACAATTCTATGAAATATCATCTGTATTTTGCATTGTGTGCCCACCACCCAAAGTCAAATCTTCCTCTATCACCATAGGTTTCACCCTCTCTACCCTTCCTAACCCCTGACCTCTTCCTGCCCTTTTCACTGCCTAGAGGCGCCATTGCTCCCACTGTGTGTGCTGTGGGGACTGGTTAGCTCAGAGGGGTCCTTTATGTAGTTCATCCGCCCAGAGGAAGTCTCCCTTTCTGCTCTGCGCAAAGGAGGGGTGGTGGCGCCACCTGCGTCATTACTGCAGTGGTGTAGACCTGTAAAGCTTTTGTTTCAAAGTTCCCTTATACACCTTCTCTCACTTGGAAATGACACAAGCTCAGTGACTTACAATGGATCAGACCATTTATGTCCATATTGCGGATGAGGAGGGTGACGTTCAGATGAAGCGACTAAACACTGAGCAACTCCAGCCAGGGCCTGTGGACAAGTCTTGGTATGGCCATTTGCTTTCCTTTCTCTTGGGTTAGTACCTAGGAATGGAATGGCTGGGTCATGGTATGCATGTTTAATTTAAATTTTATTAAACTACTAGAGGCCCAGTGCACAAAAATTTGTGCACTCGAGGGGGAGGGGGGCCCCTCAGCCCGGCCTGTGCCCTCTCCCAGTCTGGGACCCCTTGGGAGATACGACCTGCTGGCTTAGGCCTGCTCCCGGGTGGCAGAGGGCAGGCCCAATCCCTAGGTGCAGCCCCTGGTTGGGCTCAGAGCAGGGCCGATTGGGGAGTTGGGGCGCCGCCCCCTGTCATGCACAGAGCAGGGCAGATTGGGAGGTTGCGATGCCACCCTCAGTCACGCTCAGGGTAGGGCCGATTTGGGGGTTGGGGCACCGCCCCCTGTCACACTCAAGGCAGGGTGGATGGGGAGGTTGCGGCGCCACCCCCTGTCATGCACAGAGCAGGGCCAATCAGGGGGTTGGGGCTCTGCCCCCTGTCACGCACAGAGCAGGGCCCATCAGGGGGGTTGGGGCTCCGTACCCTGTCACGCACAGAGCAGGGTCAATCAGGGGGTTGGAGAGCCCCCCCCTGTCATGCACAGAGCAGGGCTGATCAGGGGTTTGAGGAGCTCCCCCTGTCACTCACAGAGTAGGGCTGATAGGGGAGTTGGGGCACCACCCCCTGTCACACTCAGGGCAGGGCGGATCAGGGGGTTGGGGCACCACCTTCTATCACCCACAGAGCAGGGCCGATCAGGGGGTTGGGGCGCCGCCACTGTCACACTCAGGGCAGGGCCGATGGGGAGGTTATGGCTCTACCCCAACACACACAGAGCAGGGCTGATCAGGTGGTTGGGCGCTGCCACTCTCACACTCAGGGCAGGGCCGATGGGGAGGTTATGGCTCTACCCTGTCACACACAGAGCAGAGCCCGTGGGGGGTGGGGGGGTTGGGGAGCCACACCCTGTCACACATAGAGCCGCAGGGCTGATCAGGGGGTTGGGGCACCTTCCCCTGTCACGAACAGAGCAGGGCGGATAGGGAGGTTTTGGCCCCGCCCCCTGTCACACACAGAGCCGCAGGGCGATCAGGGGGTTTGGGCGCTGCCCCCTGTCACGCTGATCCCAGTGCTGGGAAGACTCTCAGCTACACTGATCCCGGTGCTGGGAGGCCTCACGGCTCCGCTGATCCTGGTGCTGGGAGGCATATTACCCTTTTACTATATAGGATAGAGGCCTGGTGCATGGGTGGGGCTGGCTGGTTTGCCCTGAAGGGTGTCCTGGATCAGGGTGGGTGTCCCCACTGGGGTGCCTGGCCAGCCTGGGTGAGGGGATGATGGCTGTTTGCAGCTGGTCACACACCCCTCAGGGTGGGGGTCCTCACTGGACTGCCTGGCCAGTCTGAGTGAGGGGCTGAGGGAGGTTTTCAGACCGACTGAAGCTCCCAACTGCTCCTTTTTTTCTTTCTTTTTTTTTTTCCTGGGCCAGCTTTAGCTCTGGCTCCAGCTCTGAGGCCTCCGCTCCTGAAAGCAGGTATCTGGTTTGTTTGGGTTCTATAATTGAAACTCTGTATCATCTCCAGCTCTGAGATCCTGGGCTCGCTGAAAGCAGGTTTCTGGGGTTTTGTTTAGCTTCTATATTTGTTACTATGTTTCTTAAACTGCAAGCTCAGAGGCCAGCAAGGCAGGTGGGGAATGTTGGAGTCCTCAGTCACTGAAGCAAGCAAGCCTCATGTTAGTTTCAAGCTGCCTGGCTGCTGGCCGCCATCTTGGCTGGCAGTTAATTTGCATATCTTACTGATTAGCCAATGGGAAGGGTAGTGGTCGTACGCCAATTACCATGTTTCTCTTTTATTAGATAGAATTTTCCAAAGTGGTTGTACTATTTCATATTCCCACTGGCAGTGCATTCAGTTGATCCATTTCCTTGTCAATACTTAGTATGATCAATTAAAAATTTTTTTAACCATTCTAGTGGTTGTGTACTTGCATCTCATTGTGTTGTATTTTTTCTTTATCCTTACTCGAAGATATGCTTACTGATTTTTTTTTTTTAGAGAGAGAGGAAGGCAGAGAAAAAGAGAGGGAGGGAGAGAGAGAGAGACAGACAGGGAGAGAGAGAGAAACATTGATCACTTGCTTCTTGAATGCACTCTGACCTGGGATCAAATCCACAGCCTAGGTATGTGCCCTGACTGGTAATCAAACCTGCAACTCTTTGGTGCATGGCACGATACTCCAGCCAACTGAGCCACCCAGCCAGGGCTCATTGTGGTTTTATTGTCCATTTCCCTGACAATTAATGATGTTGAATATTTTTTCATGTGTTAATTTATCACCTACATATCTTCTATGATGAATTGTTTGTTTAAATCTTTTGCCCATTTTAAAAATTGGGTTATTTTCTTATTTTTGGTATTAAGAGTGTTTTGTATATTCTAGATACACATCCTTTGTCAGGTGTATGTTTTACAAACATTTTCTTCTTGTCTGTGGCTTCCTTTTTGGAAAGATGTTTTGAAGATGAAAAATAAAAATAATATGCCATGCACTGCACCTAGTAGAGTGCCTGGCATCATGATTATTATTATTAAAAATGTTCTTTGAAAAAAATTTTTTTTAAAAATATATTTTATTGATTTTTTACAGAGAGGAAGGGAGAGAGACAGAGAGTCAGAAACATCGATGAGAGAGAAACATCGATCAGCTGCCTCCTGCACACCCCCCCACTGGGGATGTGCCCACAACCCAGGTACATGCCCCTGACTGGAATCAAACCCGGGACCCCTCAGTCCGCAGGCCGACGCTCCATCCACTGAGCCAAACCGGTTTCAGCTGAAAAAAAATTTTTGTTTGAAGATGGTGTTCACTCTTTTTTTTCTTTCTTTGTGTGTGTGTGTGTATTACCAATGATAATAGAATCTGAAAACAATGCAAAGTCCAAAGTCTTGGGACTCTCAAATCACCATCGCATTCATTTTGCTTGTGCTGTATTTCCTGTTGGAGAATCAGAGCTAGCATTGAGCCTGGCCCCTGTCCTCAAAGAAATGGATAAGACAGTATAAATGGAACAGCAGTGAGATAGTCAGGCCAGCACTGCAAGGTTAGGAAAGTGTTATTCATGCACAAAATAGACAGCCTGATATGTGCCAGATGCTGTGCTATATGCTGGGGATAAAAGTGCAGATTATGTTTAAAAGGGGTTGAGAGTGGGAATTGAGAACAGACATTAAAATAAACAGCCATAAAATCTTTTACTGCATGTTACCTTCTAACCACTTCTATATGTTCCACCGTTCAATCTTGATTTTTTGGGGGTAGTATATCTCTAAAATGAAGTGCCAATTCTTATTGTATTCTAAAACTACATGTATTTTAGATAGTTCTAGCTTTTTGAATGAATGAGGAATTTATTGCACGCAACACCCTTGATTTCTTTCCCTAAAATTACCTTTTGTCTTTTATTATGTATCCTCTTTTCTTGGGAGAACACAAGTTGGATTTAGGCCTGTGATACTGAACAAGAGGCATAGCAATTGGAGATAAAGATATAGAATGCCAATTGTTTGCCTCAATGATTTTATAATAGCAGTGGCAGAATATTAATTTTGGCTTCTGTATTAGGTAATGCTAGGCACCATAATAAAAATACCCCCAAATGCACAGGCTCCTTTTTTTTTAGAGCCTGTTTCCTTATTACAATCTATATCTATATCTATATCTATATCTATATCTATATCTATATCTATATCTATATCTATATCTATATCTATATCTATATCTATATCTATATCTATATCTATCTATCTATCTATCTATCTATCTATCTATCTATCTATATGCCTAAGTGACCATTAAGACTGAAAGACTGGAATGAGTGGTCGACCAGTCGCTATGATGTGCACTGACCACTAGGGGGCAGATGCTTAATGCAGGAGCTGCCCCCTGATGGTCAGTGTGCTCCCACAGCCAACCTCCCCTGGTCCCTCCCCCCAGCCGACTGGTCCCCCCATAGGCTGTAATCACCGGTCAGGCCAAGGGACGCCACCCATGCAGGAATTTGTGCACCAGGCTTCTAGTATGATAATAACAATGAAACATTATTGTATCTTTGCCCTAGGACTCCTGTACAAAAATGATGTGTTTTGACACATATTACAAACTAAAGTACCAAACAACTGTCAGTAACAGCAGCAGGTACAACAGGGATGACAGTTACTACGACTCTTGTCAAATGGCAACAAATCACCCTTCTTCATCTCTGAGCCCAGGGATGTTGCCAGAATACAAAGGTGAGAAAGGAAATCTGATGATCGCATTCCTGTTTTTGATACAGCAGTGGTTCACCTCTTAAAGGAGTCTGACTGAGAAGATTAATGGTTCGGTTCAGGGAAAGCGTGGGGTAATGAAAAAAATTCTCTATTCATTGGACTCACTTTGTTTATGAAGGTGCCCTTGGGAACACTGTACTGGATGCTTGAAAATTTATTATCTCCTTTGTATTTATTCCTAGATAGTACTTAGGCTTATGGTTGTTTATATTTCTTCAGTGGCCTCTGAATAGATTTGTGTTTTTATCATCTGTGCCACTTCATAATTGCAACCACAAGCAATTTGTAAAAGAGTTTGCTGAGTGATCATCTAAGGTCTACAGCAATGGCTGTCATGCTTGGGGGCATAGGCTCACTGAGGGAACATGATAAAATTTCAGATTCTAGGGCCCACCATTAGATCTGGAATGGGGCTATTAATCCGGTATAGTTATTAAGCATTTCTGCTTGATTAGCCTTTTAATTACATACTTGTGGCCTCATGCACAAAATTCGTGCACAGGGGTTGGGGGTTTGTCCCTCAGCCCAGCCTGCACCCTCTCCAATCTGGGACCCCTCGGGGGATGTCTGACCAGCAGTCAGTCATCCCTCT